CACCAACGTCTGATAAACCCAGAGAGTCGACCAACTCGTGGCTCCTGTATACCACCGATGCCCCACCCTGAACTCACTGGCAGGATCAACAGGTACTTGTGGGACTTCATTGCAGCCAGAACCCAGAGCATGTGAGATCTGCAAGCCGAGTCCACATTAAAGGGAGCCCCCTCCCCCCCCCAGCAGGGAGTAGTGAGAGGGTGATGTGTACGGCGCCACTGCTAACAATGACCGTCGGCTCTCGGCGTTACCTGGATGTGCTTGCGGCTTTCTCTCAGCCCCTCGGCCAGCAGAGTCACAACGTCCTTATGGTCATCGAGGAGCTGCCGGAGCAGCTTGCAGTACTGACTCTCCACCTCGTTGTCTGTGATCTGTGCGGGGAGAGAGACGGGTCACCTCAGGGACTAAGCACAGGACACGGAGGGGACTAGAGGCGGAGCCACTCACCGGCGGGAACTCGCTCAGCTTCTGGAAGGCGCGAATGTACAACTCATGCTGCAGACAACAAGAAAGATCAATCAGACATCAAATCTGACCTCCTTCAGTCTCCTGCCAGAGCCCCCGGCCCCTTCAGCCTCCTATCTGACCTCCGGCCCCTTCGCTTCAGTCTCCTACCTGACCGCCAGCCCCTCCCCTTCAGTCTCCTATCTGACCGCCGGCCCCTCTCCTTCAGTCTCCTATCTGACCGCCGGCCCCTCCCCTTCAGTCTCCTATCTGACCTCCTGCCCTTTTCCCTTCAGACTCCTGCGTGACCTCCCGGCCCCTTTCCCTTCAGCCTCCTGCGTGACCTCCCGGCCCCTTTCCCTTCAGCCTCCTATCTGACCTCCGGCCCCTCCCCTTCAGTCTCCTATCTGACCTCCGGCCCCTTCCCTTCAGTCTCCTATCTGACCTCCTGCCCCTACCCTTCAGTCTCCTATCTGACCTCCTGCCCCTACCCTTCAGTCGCCTATCTGACCGCCGACCCCCTCCAGACCTCCCGGCCCCTTTCCCTTCAGCCTCCTGCGTGACCTCCCGGCCCCTTTCCCTTCAGCCTCCTATCTGACCTCCGGCCCCTCCCCTTCAGTCTCCTATCTGACCTCCGGCCCCTTCCCTTCAGTCTCCTATCTGACCTCCTGCCCCTACCCTTCAGTCTCCTATCTGACCTCCTGCCCCTACCCTTCAGTCTCCTATCTGACCGCCGGCCCCTCCCCTTCAGTCTCTTGTCTGACCTCCAGCCCCTTCCCTTCAGTCTCCTATCTGACCTCCTGCCCCTTTCCCTTCAGACTCCTGCGTGACCTCCCGGCCCCTTTCCCTTCAGCCTCCTATCTGACTGCCGGCCCCTTTCCCTTCAGACTCCTGCGTGACCTCCCGGCCCCTTTCCCTTCAGCCTCCTATCTGACTGCCGGCCCCTTTCCCTTCAGACTCCTGCGTGACCTCCCGGCCCCTTTCCCTTCAGCCTCCTATCTGACTGCCGGCCCCTCCCCTTCAGTCTCCTATCTGACCGCCGGCCCCTACCCTTCAGTCTCCTATCTGACCGCCGGCCCCTCCCCTTCAGTCTTCTATCTGACCGCCGGGCCTCTCCTCTGATGTCACTGTACACTGGGAGCTTCTCACAATGTGCATTGAAAGCTATAGCAAGTCAGAGAGAGCTCCGCCTCATTTCCTGGCTAGAGAACATCCAGCATCATCTAGCTATTTCCTTCCCAGCCTAGCTATACTCCTCCCGTGAACCAGCCCGCTACTTCTTCGGGGCTAAGGACCCTTGAGAGAGGTACTGAGGCAGGGTGCTGTGATGTTATCAGGTGATCACAGGTACTCACCACGTGTAGGATGGTGGGGTTGCAGCCGATGATGAAGGGCAGATTGCGGAATCCTTTAATTCTGTGAGCAATGCGGACGGGGAGCTCCTTGTGCAAATATCGTGCGCTTTTCTATAAAGAAGGAAAAAAAAAACCTGAAGATCAGGGATGTGAGAAATGTGCAGGAGGAGTGACAACGCAGGAGGAGTGACAACGCAGGAAATACAGAGTCTCCGGATTGTATATATAGATATTTCCTGATGTGGTGTATATATGATCATGCCGGGCCAGAGCGGACACAATGATCTGTTACCCGGAACATCTACAAGTGTCAGTGGCACCCAAGCCAGACCAGGAGCAATCTACCCTTGTCTGGAAAAGAGCAGAGCACTTCCTGCGCCCAGGCACCCCTGACAGCCGGGCACTTCCTGCGCCCAGGCACCCCTGATCTTCCTGCGCCCAGGCACCCCTGATCTTCCTGCGCACAGGCACCCCTGATCTTCCTGCGCACAGGCACCCCTGATCTTCCTGCGCACAGGCACCCCTGACAGCCGGGCACTCCTGTCTGTAGCTTCCTAGCTGTTTATCCGCAGTGTGAGGTCATCTACAGCACTGCTGCCTCAGGAGGTTTGGCGGTCACTGCTGTTCTGCTCTGTGTTCTCCTTGCTGGAGAGGAATCTGTACCCGAGGACCTGCAGTGCAAGCATCTCCCTGCTTCTACATCCATTCTGTGATCTGCGATTCTTCCTCCTCTCCTGCTGCTTCATCATTGGTCGTGGGGGGGGGGGTTGAGGCGGGGGCAGCCCTAACACAAGGAAGCAAAACCCTGCTCCTCTACCAATATGGCCGCCTCCGCACAGAGCAGAACAAGGCACAGCGAGTCCACGATGGGGAAAAGATCAGCTGCAGGGGGGTGAATGGTTCTTGGTCTTCTGTCTGCCGCTTTTGGACACGTTTCATTTCCTGTTTATAGGCCGGGAGCCGATCCCATCTTCTAAGAAGCCAGCAAGTATCAGAACTCATCGTGTGACGCACAATCACAGCTTACCAGAATGTGGCTGCCATCCTGAGATCGGCCCGAGTACAGCATGGTGGTGGGAGTCAGACGCACGGACGGCTAAATAATAATCAATAAAGAAAAACAAGTCAGCAATGCTGCGGCACGATCACACATCCCAAACCCCGCTCCTGCCGCCATCACTGTCCATTACCACAGGCGCTGTATACCCAGACAGAGGAGTTATAAGAGAGGAAAACCGACATGTGGGTGGTATGTATCCGTGACTGAAGAGCTCAGGTACATCTCTAGCAACCATGAGCTAAGGGGTCTATACAGCCCTGTGTACCGAATACCCCCCACCCCCCCTCAAACCCCCCCATACCCTCAC